GTCTCTCTCACACACACACACACACACACACACACACACACACACACACTTCTGATAAAACAAGCTGATGTGTTGGGGTGATCTGCTATTGAGTGTACAGTGCTAGGGACATTAGCACACCACCAATAAATTAAAACATCTTGGGCGCTATTCTGCCAGCCTGATGGAAAATTAAGGACATTCCAGTCCTGTGTGCTCACAAACTACTTCCGAGATCCAGATGTGGACCATGGACATACACCCAGATACAGCATTCATTTTTGTCCAAGGCAAGCACTAAAAGCTACATAGCCATGATGGAAGCAACCCAACCCAACCGTAGACTGCTTAAGCTGCTGAATGGCGATATATTCTAGTGTTTGCTTGCATTTGCTTGGCTAGAGTTTCGATATGAAAAGAGGCAAAGGAAGTAAGCAGGCAAGATGATGATCACAGGCAAGAAGAATTCAAAAGTTAAGAGAAACACAAGTTAAGAGAAGTCAGCTCCAGGTCACTTCAAATCTTTTAGTGGTTTTATACCAGCTAGATCTGGATTACGGCAGACATAGCTGACTTCACAGATTAAAGATATGCATTTCTGCTTACTAACAAGATAGGAATTTGCACAAGACTTGTGAAGCAGACAAGGATTGGGTTCAAAGGTTCTTTTCCAAGGAGAGACAATAGGTTGTATTGGAAGGGAAACTATCCAACTGAAGGAAGGTTACTAGTGGAGTTCCCCATGGGCTAGATTGAGACTGATCTTTTTTCATATTTTCTATTTTTTGTGCCAAAGTCATGAAAGGAGGGTGCTGATAAAATATCTTACAATGGCACAGAGCTGGGAGGTATCATCAGAATGGAGGAGGATCAAAATATCACACAGGGAGGCCTGGATGACCTTGAGAACTGGAATAATGGAAACAAGATGATATTTAATATTACAGAGTGCATGCACCTAGGGATTAATGATGCTCATGAATTCAAAATGGCAAAAGAGGATGATGAGCTACAAGCAAGATGCAGACATGCAAAAAGCAAATCCAAGCCAGGATGTACCTAACAAGGCATTTCCAGTTGCATTAGCATTTCTCTGTTGCCATTTTACAAGGTCCTGATGGGACTTCACCTGGAGCACCCTGCATAATCCTGCTCAAATGTGTTCCAAAAAGAGGAATACAAGACTGGAACAGGTTCAAAGACAGGCTGTTATGATGACCAAGGAACGAAGAGCCGGTCTTACAAGAAGAGACTAAAAGAACATGGTTTGCTTAGCCCAGCAAAAAAATGGAGGCTGGGAAGGGATAGAATTGCTGGCTATAAATACATCAGGGAAGTAAACAGTAGCTAAAAGCACAATGTTGGCACAAGAACAAATGCGTATGAAGTGGCCATGAATATATTTAGGTTGGAAATTAGAAGGCTTCTAAACACCAGGGGAGTGTAGGTCTGAAAACCTTCCAGTAGGAGTCATTTCATAGACATCAGGGCTGGAAGGGACCTCGGAAGATCATCGAGTCCAGCCCCCCGCCCAAAGGGCAGGAAGTCAGCTGGGGTCATAGGATCCCAGCAAGATAAGCATCCAGTTTCATCTTGAAGGTGTTCAATGAAGGCGCTTGAACCACCTCCGGTGGCAGGCTGTTCCAGACCTTGGGGGCTCGGACAGTAGAGAGAGAAAAGAAAAAAGAAAATGGAGCTGGACCAGTTTACTAAAGCAATATCATATGGCTGCCTGTGAGCAGGAACTGGACTTAACCCCACCCAGTGTTTCAACAATCCTTGTATTGGGAGAGGGGCCAGGGAGGCTCCCTGCCTCTTCCTCCATCCTCTGGTTGAGGACACCAAAGGAAGGTCACTGGCAAAAAAAGCTGCAAGGTGGGCGATACCTCTGCTTTGAAGGAAACGTCCCTTCCTGTCCCTTTCTAACTCCCCATTTCTTAGGAGAAAGCATTAAGATTTGTTGCAGATGAACAGGCAAAACCATGAAGTCAGAGTGAGAGAGAGGCAGGCATGAAAAGAGACCCTGTCCAAAGCCTTTACTGATGCACCTTGAAGATGAGGGCAAGATGTTTGGAAGCAATATGCAGCACAATGGAGAGGCCATGATGGGACTCCAATGAGTTTGGCAACCTGGACAAATACCAGGTTGGAATACCAACTCCAAGGCAAATGTTTCAGACGGAGAGAGGCAGATGAGGGCTGGATGGAGGTGGACACTGCCCTATGAGACAGGTGCTGCCAATAATGAAGTCCAGCCCATCATGAGGGGAGAAGCCACAGGATTTGGCTATGTAATGATATGCTGGCAAAGAGGCAAGAGGAATCAAAGTGGGCCCCCAAGGCTGCAGACATGGGGGATGGGAAAGGATAATGGTCTTCAGCTGTAAGAGATAAGGCAGCCTTGGGAGGGAAGGTCAAGAGATCAGTTCTGGGCCAGGGAAGTTGAGAGGATGGTGAACCATCCAACAGGAGAAGCAGTGAGCACCAGAGACTATTGGTGTCACTTTGATTGCGACTTTCCTACCTTTCTCCATAAAATAGTGACCACTGCAATATTTTGAGAGGTACAGAAGGATTTGATCTCCCCAAGCTGAGGACTCCAGTGGACGGGGATCTAGATTAACACACACTCACATCTGTAGCACTTCCTACAAATGAACAGGTAAACCGTCTGTTCAGCAAATGGGAATCAATAAGGTCCATATCCCAAGAAGGGGCCACACTGCACCAGCCCCACTGGCTTCAGTAGACTGTGGAAGTGCTGATGCTTCGTGAAAATGAACTCTTTGAAGGAAAGACACAGACAGACAAAGCAACCCAAGGGTGAATTGCAGGGTAGAGAGATGAGGCCAAACCCTCAACTGGTATGAACTGGCACAGTGCCAGAGTTGCAGTGTCTTTTGGACATTTCTTTTAAATGAAAAGTAAAGGGGAGGACAGGTGGGAAGCAGCAGGGAACAGAAAGGCCAGGAATGCTTGACAAAACAGGGGAAGATGACCAAGTCTGGAGGGCCCAGAGAAGGACAGAGGAAGGGTGCAGGGTCAGAAAGAGACCTGAGATAAAGTGAGATCCAGGGCTGTGTCCTGGTGCTTGGAGAGGAAGAACAACCTCAGGGACTGATTTTAAATGCTCAGGAGAAGGGGGGCAACTCACTCCTTCAGAAACCGCCCAACAATTTACCCCACACATGCCTAAAAGGAAGCTGCCCGGGTCTTGTTAAGAGTCCAGCTCCATTTAAAATGGATGCTTTGCCTTCCTTGCTCTACCTCCCCACGTTCAGCCTTCTCTGGGATTGCCCATTATATTTACTCCGACAGATACAGAGCTTTCCGACCGGACCCCGCACAGAGGTACAGAGCTCTCCATTTTTCAGAGCTCCGCCAGCTGCCCCAGCCTTTAATTGGAAAGGGGCAAATGCAAATCCTGCTCATCAGGGAACTGCTGCAATTTGATGTCATGCTGCCAAAGCAACGGGAGAGAACAAGACGGAGACTGCCGAGTCAGCAGAGCTGGCTGCTTGTCACTGCCCGAACCTCCCAGCCGCAAGGGATTAGAAGAAAACCCGCTGAAAGAACAAAGGTCTCGCTGGAACAGCGCAGAACAACATTCCTGTCAGATTCAGAGCCAGGCCCTAGATGGAAACACAGAGCAGGAAACTCCAGGGAAAACACTGTTTAATCAGACACCCAGGCTTGTCTTAAACCCCCGTCATTTCTATTGTGGGTAGAACCTGCTACGTGCCAATGAGCCCGTTTCCAACTCTGCGCTCCATGCTCGTGCCCTTCTGCCACCCAGGTTTCTTCCACCTCCTGGACCAGCCTTGATTTGTCAACCGACCCACAAGGTAAGTCAGACATGGCTGGCATTCCTCCTTGAACTGCCTTCCCTGAGAAAAAGTGTGCGCAAGCATTTCAAGACCCTATCAGGCCTGTGGTTCACAGTAAAAGGAGAGAGGATCACAGCAGAAAGGAAGCAGCCCATGAGTGATGCTCTTTCAACCCGAACAGAAGTGAGAGAGAGAGAGAGAGAGAGAGAGAGAGAGAGAGAGAGAAGAGGCCAAAGACTGGTTTTTAACCACAGAATTAACCATTCAATCACATGGAAAGACAGCAAGCGACTAAACAGAGTAAGTTTTTACCCAAGAAAACTCTTACAACCTTTTCTCCTATGCCTGAAGGAGGGTGTTGGTGCCAAAAGCTTGCAATTAAAAAAAATATTTTTTTTGGAAAAAATCTAGTTGGTCTAATAAAAGATATCACCTCTACCATGAGTCCAGATTCCTTCCTCCTGCTACTAAGCAGAGCAAGTCAACTTTGCTTTACTGTGCAAGTCGAATGGACACACAATGAACAGCCTTACCCTGGTGAAAGTCACTCTGCTCTGGGATGAAATGCCTCTCAAAAGCAAGGAGTCACTGTATACTAATAAAAGTTACCCTGGTTTACTGGTTGTGTGTCCACTCTGCCAGTCACTTTCATCCTGGGGTAGACACTGGTGCAATGCAAATAGACTGCCCTGCCTTGAGTGGCCAGGATTGTGAGAGCCCCTATAGCTTACTCGACAGAGCTGGTTGTAATGTCTTACTACATAGTAAAATCCAGGATACGTAACCATATTGTGTATGTCCATACCCCTAGGTATCTCCATCGTTCCTTCCCCATGTCTGGTTGTTTAGTCCCTCCACCTGCAATGCCTGGTCTTGGTACCATACTCTGCTTGAAGCATTCGTTATATCTCTGCATTCAGCCTGGCACAACATGGCTCCAAAAAGATGAAGGTCTCTACCACCACATAAGTAAAAATGGGGAGCAGTCTCTACAGTTGTGTCTGCCCAACACTTCCCATTTGAATACCAGGCTTTCAATTGCTTACTCCTTCTGGCAAGCTTTGACCTACAGGGGCTGAAATTTTCCGTGCCAAGAGTCTGCCTCAGGCAAAATGTTCTAGGAAAATTCCAAATAGATGATTCAGCCATTTCTCAACATGATCTTGAGAAAAAACAATTGCCTTCCCCCTCCCTCACTTGCTGGGCTTGAAACACTGGTGGAGGGAACAGGACTGGGGGTGCTGCTTCTCAGTGGCCCTGGGCAGGCCCACATTGATACAGCCAGAGCTCACGTACAACAAAGGGGACCTGCTGGATATGATGAGCAAAGGGACTGCAAAGATCACCCTTCACTTGAGGGCCATGGATCCAGGAAAAATATAGATGGCAGAACTCCCTGCACCAGGGCCAGATGAAGTACTGGGGAACAGCAGAGGCCCCAGCTTGTAGGCAGGCTGAGCTGGGACACTGTCCAGATGCAGTCTATAGTCACAAGCAAGCAGAACTGCTGATCAGGAGAAGTGAATAGGCTGTGTTTGGCCATGAGCCTGACTGGGGAAGACCTGCCAACTCTGGTCTGGGACAATGTAGATGGGCGTCACCTTAACCTTCATGGGTCCAGCAGAACAGAGCTCCCAGAGCCCTAAAAAAGCCCTAAATACAATGTATTAACCCCCAAAAAACCTACATAAAAACAAGGTTAAAAACACCCCAACACATGTAACAGAAAAGAAAAGAAGGGGTGGGGGGGGAGCAGGAGCAACCAGCAAAGCCCAGAAGCATGGAAAATGCCTGTTTTCTACCATGGGTATAGATACACCCAGATCATCCCTAAATAATAGCTATCTAACCTCTCCTTGAACACCTCCAGTGATGGAGAGTCCACAGCTTCCCTAGGCATCTATTCCACTGCCTCACTGTTCCCACAATGAAGAAGTTTTTCCAAGTACTCAATCTAAACTTACTTTGCTGCAACTTCAAGCCATTGGTCCACATCCTTCCCTCTATAGAAAGAGAGAGAGAGAGAGAGAGAGACAAGGTGCTTTTCCCTCTTTGTTAGGTTAGCCCTTCAAGTATTTGAAGTCTGCTGTCACATCCCCTGGTAAGTGCATTTTCAGGTACAGTCGAGCATTCATAAGTTAGGAGTCACCATATCTGCATAATGATGCAGCCTCAATTTATGTAAATCACATATTAGTTCACCACCAAGGACTGAACAGGGTCTCCCGAGTCTTTGAGTTCAGTCTCCTGCATTCACAGGCAACCATTTTAAATCAGACACCCAGATCCGTCTTAAACCACAGTCATTTCTATTACATGTAGAACCTGCTACATGACAATATAACCAACAGGCCTCATTTCCAACTTTGTGTTTCACGCTTGTCACTTGCCACTATCCAGATTTTACCATAAGGATTACCTGAAATCACCAGTTCAAGTCTTCACACATAGCTACAAGACAGAGCCAGAAACAGCAAGGACATCCTGCAACGGGCCATAAGAGCAGGTAAGCTGGCCAGTGCTCTGTCACTGCAACGACAGGAAAGAAGCTGGTTAATATATACTGAAGATCTTAAGAGGACCATGGCCTCTTATACAGAGGAAGGGAATTCACACCCTCCCCCCTCCCAAATCCCTGCTAATCTGGCCTAGGAGGATCAGGAAGGAATTCTTCTATATTTGCCCCCAACTCATTCAGTGCACAGCACTGAAAACCCTGCTATAGAAAGATGTTCTCACCAGATTTAAAATATGCACTTTTCACCTACTGAGTGTCCCTGCAGGAAGGAAGACGCACAAGCATAAGTGTGGGCTAACTACCAGAAACCAAAACAGACTATGCACAGAGCAACCGAACTCACCAGTCTAGTTTTACTCTAGGAGTTGAGCAAAGAGCAAAAAGTAAGCAAATAAGTCTCCAAAAGAAAAAAGGGATTTTTAGCCCTCTCTCCACCAACACATACACATTCTCTCTCTCACCTTAATCAAAGTTGATCCAAATGATTCTTTATAAAAATGGAATATTAAAAGGACATTCTCTTTAATTGGAATTAACTTCAGCTGAAGTCCTTCCAACTATTCCCCTCTCCCACGTCCAGCTGCTGATTGCCAATGTAATTTCCTTAGGATATTTTTCAGTGTTTAGTATGAGCTCTTCAGATTCAGATCAAAGGAGGTTTTTAGATGATCGTAAATTAAAACAAGAGAGTCTTGGATTTTTACCCTGCCTATTTTTCAGAAAGCAATCCGGAACAACTTCAGATTATGCAGGTTGTTTGACAAGCTACACCAAAAATGGAAAAGTTAAAAGAAAGAAGAAAAAAACCCTACCATCTAAACATAGTTTGATGAACAAAGTGCTTTCCTCCTTACATCCTCATTTAAAAAAAAAAACAACAACAACAACAACAAAAAAACCCAAAACAAAACCTGATCTACTTCTCTGAATTCTCTGGAGATCTGTAACAGCAGAAACCAAGTCACCTGACTACCTATTATAATCCCTAATTCCCATTCAAACTGTTTCTGCGACGTCAGCCAAGGTATTAGCATTATTCCTGCTGCATGCACAGTCTACCGGGCCATTAGGACTCAATGCTGCAAGATGCTAAGTGCCCTCAATGTCCACTCAAATCACAAGGGACCGAGTGTACACAGCACCGCACTGAAGTGCTCAGCATCTTGCCTGATTGAGCCCAGGCTGCATAAAATTCTCCATGAGAATTGAGTGGCTGCTCAGAGTCTAAAGAGGAACAGCCTCCGCCCGGGTCCTGGGTTTGCTTTCCTGGAACATCAGGTTTGTGCTGACAGATGTTGGCGGGACAGGAATTTCAGTCAGGTGCAAAGGGCAAGAGAGAGAACAGCACCATGCTAGCTAGCTGCACTCTCATCCAGCCTCTGCCGCTTGCCCAGCAGGTAGCTGAGACTCCAGAGACCTGTTCCCATCAAACCCTACAAAACAATTTTAAAGAAATCTCAGGTTAAATTCATCAGATAAAATGTCACCCCCAGGCTTTCATCCCTAACCAACAGAACCACTTTCATTAAGCCTCTACTTTCTAATTGTGTATTCTATGCACCCAGCTCTCTTAATTGTTGGTCTTGGTTATTCCACATAAAAAATATTAGTCATTAGAACTCATGTAAAGTCATTCCAATTTGTGAATTTTCTGAAGCATTTATAATCAATGCAGATTGCTGTAACTCCCTCTATTTTTCCTTAATTATTTTATACTCAGTCATCTGGGGCTGCCCGAGGCCCTCAGTCATATTATTTATAAAATATACAAATATTCAATAAAATTAACATAGTTCCATAATTTGTTACATTATATTTACTGTACCACAGCCACACCCAGGCAATTGAGACTCTGTCCCCACTGCGCAGGGAGCTGTATAAACTCACAGGAAAAAGATCTCCTGTTCCAAGGCACGTGTAAATGTAAATCGACAAGAGAAAGGGAACTGGAGCTCAGGAAAGCTACATGACTTACCAAAGGTCATGCAAGAATCTGTGGCAGAGCCGTGAACTGAACATAGGTCTCTCAAGTCCTGATCCTTGACTTAGTACTAAAACCCACAGCTCTAGTAGCCCTGATACTCCATTTCACTACTGCCGTTTAAAAATCACTGACCTCAGCAAGGTCGCACCAGCATAAAGCGGCTGTAGAGCAGAGAATCAGGGACGTTCATTCTGAGACTTGAGCAGAAGTTTTTAGCTAGTATGACTAGGAAAAACCAGCAAGATCATCCTTCAGGCAAAACATAAAGCTGAGGTTCTAGTCATTTGCAACTATTAAGGGCTTTGAGCAGAGGGTTGGACTAAATGACCTCCTGAGTTCCCTTCAAACCCTAACTTTCTATGATTCGAAGGAACCCAAGACATTCTGTATAAAAAAAATGCTATCCCCAAGGCTGGTCAAATTCCCTTACAGTCCACATTTCTCCATTAGTCTTCCACTTTCAACTGGATAGAATAATATTCTGCACTTCCTGTCCTAAAGTGCAGTGTAGCGGCAATGGGCACTGCTAAAACACTTTGGTGAAGCAGAAATGAGCCCTCATAGATCTTTTACCTACTTCACAAGCTGCCAGGTGTAGTTAATCCAGTTTTGAAAGTACTTTAAGATCTTTCGTTGAAAGGCCCTATAGGAGTTGCCAAGTATTGTGGTGAAGTAGTATGTGGCGGCGCTTGTCCGCACGTGCGTGGGCATCCTACTGCCCTCGGCTGCAGAGAGTCCAAACTGATCATCTGTGTGGCATATGCCCTCTACGGCTAGGAACGGATGGAGATTCTCCTCTGGCAATAGGGTTCCCTTTTAGTGTAGGAGGTCTCAGGACATACTCCTGCTGTCACCACATTGGTGTGCATCATTGCACCCACTACAAAAAGCTTGGCACCTAGAGATCTGTTCTATCACTATGACCATCCACTTGGATTTTCAGTCTTTTGCCAGACCCTTCCCTACCGCAGTCCCAAGGATATTTTAGCTAAGTTTTCCTTCTATGCAGTGATGCTGTACTGAATCCTTGCTGCTAGATGCCCTTAGGGTCCAGTTTACTCCTTTGAAATTCCTGATGTTTGAAATGGTGTTCTGACATCTAGCTGGAACATCTGTCTTCCATCAAGATGGGTCCATCAGCATTAAGTGTCAAGATTAGATCCATCCACATTTTACTCTGCCCCTGTCTAGACAGATTCAGTCTCCCAAGTCAAGCTTCTTAACATGAAGAACAATAATTTTCCTTCACACAACAGTTTTTCCATACAGGTTCTCACAGACTTAAAAACACTGACCGGTTTAGTCATCGACACCCCCATCAGTGGCCATCACATTTTACAGACGGACTAGGAAACTGAGGCAGGGGTAAGTTAAGTGACTTCAAATCACAGAATCATGGAAAATTAGGGATGGAAGGAACTTCAAGAGGTTATCTAGTCCAACCCCCTCCTCAAAGCAGGACAATCCCCAACTAGATCATCCCAACCAAGGCTTTGTCTACCCGAGTCCTAAAAAGGATGGAGGCTATTCCAGGGCTTTGCTGCCCTACTAGTGACAAACCTAAGCTTCCCAGATATCAAACCTAAGCTTTCCTTGCTGCAACTTGAGACTATTGTGCCTTGTCCTGTTATCTGCCACCACTTGCCCTGGGTCACAGAGCAGGGAATAGAAAGCAGAGCTTGCCTGAACCACTAAGCTATGCTCATCTGGGATGTTTTCATCCTCCTCGGATACCCAAGCTATGCTATACCTTCCTCCCTAGCAAGGCAATCTAGCCCACCCTAGCAGGCAGCAACCAGCCTGCTGCACTGCTGCTCTGCCTTACTGCTGTGCTCCAGGCCCCTTCGACTCTGCATCACTGGGCCTGGTCATAATCTACCCTTCAGCCCCAAGCCCCTTCTGTCACTCTTTTTAAGACAGTAAACAAGTCACTTCTGTCAGGCTTGCTTTTTCCTTGAGATACTTACAGGATAAAGCTCTCTCCTCTCCCTTAAGATGTCTCTCTTCCTTTATCCAGATAAAGCACCTGCCTAGGCCAGGCTCAGAGCACCATGCCCCCGACCGAAGAGGACGGATGTGAAAGTCTGAGGTCAAGGCTCTTTGCTAGAAGCCATCAGAAGCTCCAGGGTGCCGCTCCCCGCGGTGCCACAGCTGCGAAAAGGAGATGCCTTCAGAACTAGATACGTCATGCGTTTCCCACCCCAATTTGCCTCCAGCCCACACAGACCTCTTGGCCTCTACCCCGCAAGCCCCAGAGGCTAGGAGCCTGCCCAAAGACTCGGGGGAGCTGGATGCAAGAAAGCCTGTCTCCCTTCAAGGGTGTTTGCACCAAAAAGCTTGCAAAGAAGAATTCTTCCAACTGTTTGAGTTGGTCTAATAAAAGACATCACATTTACCCAAAGAACCTTGTCGGCCTATGTCCTTAGATCAACACAGCTACAACCTATATCCCACCGCCTTCAAGCCACACGCCCCTTAGGAACGCCCTGTGGGTGCATCCCCCAGGCCTGGCAGGTGGCAGGGGGCACTTGGGCCAGCAGCCCTGCCCTCACGCAGCCACACCAGCCCTCCTGAAGTCCCTTCCAACCCTCATTTTCCATGATTTGCAACGGTCCGTAGGCTGGCGCACGATGACCCGCTACCAGCAGAGCCCAGGATTGTGGGAGCAGAAGCAGGGCCACATCTGGACACCCCTGGTGGAGCTCAGGACCACCCCTGGGGGCAAATGCATCCCTGCTCCCTCCCCAGATGTGCACTGCTAGCTCCAGGCAGCCGTGGGGGGATGCCCAGGAGCTGCCGCTTTGCCCTGGCCGCAGAGATGGGGTCCCCGCCCTGCCCTTACCTGCAGGCGCAGGCGGCACCAGCCAGCAGCGGC